ATTTGGAGTCGCAGTGCGTCTGCCCATGATTCCAAATCGCCTATAACGTGTGAGGATGTGTTCCAGAAACTAAAAAAAAAAAGATAGGATGCAGCCCATTCATTAGGACGCAGCCCATTCATTAGGACGCAGCCCATTCATTGGGACGCAGCCCATTCATTGGGACGCAGCCCATTCATTAGGACACAGCAACTGCACAGACACACCTGCTCATCCCAATGTGACAGCCGCATGGGTGCGTAGGAGTGGCCCTGAATGCAGGTAGTCAGATTGGGAGGAGAGGTTGTTTCCTTGCACCCGCTCATCCCAATCAACATGAATGGGCTGCCTGCACAAACAAGGCAATGGGTGTCAACATGCATGAGACCTAAACCCTTATGAGTTGGGGAACAGTTACTTCCACCAAGGCCTAGTCACACAGGTGTTGTGCCATGTCCTGTTAGGACGGGTTAGAAAGTGAAGGGGGGTAGAGGATTGGTTGCTGCAGACAGCACAGACAGGTCCCTTTTCGAACACTTTGATGCCTGATCCCCGTGGTGACCCAGTACCGGCATCCGGTTTGGTTATCCCAGCTCAGAGCAGATGTAGTTCCAGCTGAGTTCTCTGCCTTCCTCACAGATGTTCCACTCTCACAACCCCCCGCATCGCCTCACCACAAGGAAGCACACACCACACAGCGGCTTACTCAAGACTATTTGTGTACACATCTGCAACCCTGCTCGCTGTGCTGGAACCAGGCACCTGTTTCCATGTGCAGGACTGTCTATGTCACACCAGTGGGGTGCAACCATAAGGATTTGAGGGATGTGACCGATGCCAGGCCTCCCCCCCAGGGATACTAGGGATGTCACCAGTGCCAGGGCCACCAGGATCAGAAGGTGCAGCACAAAGCTAGGGATGGGACCAATGCCAGGGCCATCAGGATCAGAAGATGCAACACAAAGCTAGGGATGGGACCAATGCCAGGGCCATCAGGATCAGAAGATGCAGCACAAAGCTAGGGATGTCACCAGTGCCAGGGCCACCAGGATCAGAAGGTGCAGCACAAAGCTAGGGATGTCACCAGTGCCAGGGCCACCAGGATCAGAAGGTGCAGCACAAAGCTAGGGATGTCACCAGTGCCAGGACCACCAGGATCAGAAGATGCAACACAAAGCTAGGGATGGGACTGATGCCAGGGCCACCAGGATCAGAAGATGCAGCACAAAGCTAGGGATGGGACCGATGCCAGGGCCACCGGGATCAGAAGATGCAACACAAAGCTAGAGATGGGACCGCTGCCAGGGCCACCAGGATCAGAAGGTGCAGCACAAAGCTAGGGATGGGACCGCTGCCAGGGCCACCAGGATCAGAAGATGCAGCACAAAGCTAGGGATGGGACCGATGCCAGGACCACCAGGATCAGAAGATGCAACACAAAGCTAGGGATGGGACTGATGCCAGGGCCACCAGGATCAGAAGATGCAGCACAAAGCTAGGGATGGGATCGATGCCAGGGCCACCGGGATCAGAAGATGCAACACAAAGCTAGGGATGGGACCGATGCCAGGGCCACCGGGATCAGAAGATGCAGCACAAAGCTAGAGATGGGACCGCTGCCAGGGCCACCAGGATCAGAAGGTGCAGCACAAAGCTAGGGATGGGACCGCTGCCAGGGCCACCAGGATCAGAAGGTGCAGCACAAAGCTAGGCATGGGACCGCTGCCAGGGCCACCAGGATCAGAAGATGCAACACAAAGCTAGGGATGGGACCAATGCCAGGGCCACCAGGATCAGAAGATGCAACACAAAGCTAGGGATGGGACCAATGCCAGGGCCATCAGGATCAGAAGATGCAGCACAAAGCTAGGGATGTCACCAGTGCCAGGGCCACCAGGATCAGAAGGTGCAGCACAAAGCTAGGGATGTCACCAGTGCCAGGACCACCAGGATCAGAAGATGCAACACAAAGCTAGGGATGGGACCGATGCCAGGGCCACCAGGATCAGAAGATGCAGCACAAAGCTAGGGATGGGACCGATGCCAGGGCCACCGGGATCAGAAGATGCAACACAAAAGCTAGAGGGATGGGACCGATGCCAGGGCCACCAGGATCAGAAGGTGCAAGCACAAAGCTAGGATGGGACCGATGCCAGGAAGCCACCTAGGGATGGGACCGATGCCAGGGCCACCAGGATCAGAAGATGCAACACAAAGCTAGGGATGGGACCGATGCCAGGGCCACCAGGATCAGAAGGTGCAGCACAAAGCTAAGGATGGGACCGCTGCCAGGGCCACCAGGATCAGAAGATGCAACACACAAAGCTAGGGATGGGACCGATGCCAGGGCCACCAGGATCAGAAGATGCACAACACAAAGCTAGGGATGGGACAGGCCAGGGCCACCGGGATCAGAAGATGCAACACAAAGCTAGGGATGGGACCGATGCCAGGGCCACCAGGATCAGAAGGTGCAGCACAAAGCTAGGGATGGGACACCAGATCAGAAGGTGCAACACAAAGCTAGGGATGGGACCGATGCCAGGGCCACCAGGATCAGAAGATGCAACACAAAGCTAGGGATGGGACTGCCAGGGCCACCAGGATCAGAAGATGCAACACAAAGCTAGGGATGGGACCGATGCCAGGGCCACCAGGATCAGAAGATGCAACACAAAGCTAGGGATGGGACCGCTGCCAGGGCCACCAGGATCAGAAGGTGCAGCACAAAGCTAGGGATGGGGACCGCCAGGGCCACCAGGATCAGAAGGTGCAGCACAAAGCTAGGGATGGGACCGATGCCAGGGCCACCAGGATCAGAAGATGCAACACAAAGCTAGGGATGGGACCGATGCCAGGGCCACCAGGATCAGAAGATGCAACACAAAGCTAGGGATGGGACCGATGCCAGGGCCACCAGGATCAGAAGGTGCAGCACAAAGCTAGGGGGATGTGATTGCAGCCAGGGCCACCAGGATCAGAAGATGCAACACAAAGCTAGGGATGGGACCGATGCCAGGGCCAGGGCCACCAGGATCAGAAGGTGCAACACAAAGCTAGGGATGGGACAGGTGCCAGGGCCACCAGGATCAGAAAATGCAACACAAAGCTAGGGATGGGACTGATGCCAGGGCCACCAGGATCAGAAAGGTGCAGCACAAAGCTAGGGATGGGACTGCTGCCAGGGCCACCAGGATCAGAAGGTGCAGCACAAAGCTAGGGATGGGACCGATGCCAGGGCCACCAGGATCAGAAGGTGCAACACAAAAGCTAGGGATGGGACCGATGCCAGGGCCACCAGGGGCCATCAGAAGGTGCAGCACAAAGCTAGGGATGGGACCGATGCCAGGGCCACCAGGATCAGAAGGTGCAGCACAAAGCTAGGGATGGGACCAATGCCAGGGCCACCAGGATCAGTAGGTGCAACACAAAGCTAGGGATGGGACCAATGCCAGGGCCACCAGGATCAGAAGGTGCAACACAAAGCTATGGATGGGACCGATGCCAGGGAGCCAGCCCAGCAGAAGACCTGAAGGCAACCACCAACCCAACCAGTTCACAGGCAAGGACTGAGTGAGTAATCCTGCAACCTCTGGGCCAGACAAAGGGAGAGGACATTTTGGTGGGAGTGTCGATCATTTAAAAAAAACTCTTAGATGGGCATCTTAGCGAATGCAATATACAGAGAAATGGGAAAGGCTGGTGACAGAAACACACACACAGGCTGAACTGGATGGGCTGATGTCCTTATTTACCATCGATGTAACAATCTATTTTATATCAAAAACAAATCTCGTGTTTACCATACACCAATCACGTGGCCATCATGTAATTTACAAGAAATTCTATAGGCACTTAGGAGGAAGGTGAGGATAATCCCGCGACCGTCCATTCTCATCTCTCTGCGATTTAGTGTTCCTAATTATACACATGGAAGTTTTTAAAGGTAGTTGGTTAGCGAGGTTAATATCGGAACACACTTCGACAAAGTGTACCATTAGTGTATGGAGCGGATATTGGTGGGCAATCCGCCGCTCATGACACCCGCAATGGTCAGAGCAGCACGCAGCAATCAATAAAAGCCCCTTTTACGTTGCACTCGACTCCCATCTATATACCAGCAAATTGGACTGTACTGTTATAGCGAACATGTGCCGGCTATACGGAGCAAATGTGTCCATTATGTGTAAGAACAGCTGTCCACTTATATTAACACTTTCCCGGAAACGGAGGAAGAACTCCGGGACGACCAGATCTCCGAATCATGGGTGAGGTCAATGATGACCCATAGGACTCCAACTGCACAAGTCACGCCTGGCACATGTGTGCATCGCTCTACAGCCACCCCGGGTAAGAGGTCAACCGCACAGTCCCTTCCATCCAGGCTTCCTCAACCTAATCAACACAGAGGAACCCTTCAAATACCTTTCCAGTCTCAAGGAACCCTGACAATGATAACTAGATCTACAACACGTGATACATTAGGAATGTCCCTTACATTGGGGGTCAGTGGGAAGAATGTCCCTTACATTGGTGATCAGTGGGAAGAATGTCCCTTACATTGGGGGTCAGTGCGAAGAATGTCCCTTACATTGGGGGTCAGTGGGAAGAATGTCCCTTACATTGGAGGTCAGTGGGAAGAATGTCCCTTACATTGGGGATCAGTGGGAAGAATGTCCCTTACATTGGGGGTCAGTGGGAAGAATGTTGGGAAGAATGTCCTTACATTGGGGGTCAGTGGGAAGAATGTTCCTTACACTGGGGGTCAGTGGAAGAACGTCCCTTACATTGGGGGTCAGTGGGAAGAACGTCCCTTACATTGGGGGTCAGTGGGAAGAACGTCCCATTACATTGGTGGTCAGTGGGAAGAACGTCCCTTACATTGGGGGTCAGTGGGAAGAATGTCCCTTACATTGGGGGTCGGTGGGAAGAATGTCCCTTACATTGGGGGTCAGTGGGAAGAATGTCCCTTACATTGGGGGTCAGTGGGAAGAATGGGAAGAATGTCCCTTACATTGGAGGTCAGTGGGAAGAATGTCCCTTACATTGGGGGTCAGTGGGAAGAATGTCCCTTACATTGGTGGTCAGTGGGAAGAATGTCCCTTACATTGGGGGTCAGTGGGAAGAATGTCCCTTACATTGGGGGTCAGTGGGAAGAATGTCCCTTACATTGGGGGTCAGTGGGAAGAATGTCCCTTACATTGGTGAAGTCAGTGGGAAGAATGTCCCTTACATTGGGGGTCAGTGGGAAGAATGTCCCTTACATTGGGGGTCAGTGGGAAGAATGTCCCTTACATTGGGGTCAGTGGGAAGAATGTCCCTTACACATGTGGGTCAGTGGGAAGAATTCCCTTACATTGGGTCAGTGGGAAGAATGTCCCTTACATTGGTGGTCAGTGAGAAGAATGTCCCTTACATTGGGGGTCGGTGGGAAGAATGCCCCTTACATTGGAGGTCAGTGGGAAGAATGTCCCTTACATTGGGGGTCAGTGGGAAGAATGTCCCTTACATTGGGGGTCAGTGGGAAGAATGTCCCTTACATTGGAGGTCAGTGGGAAGAATGTCCCTTACATTGGGGGTCAGTGGGAAGAATGTCCCTTACATTGGGGGTCAGTGGGAAGAATGCCCCTTACATTGGAGGTCAGTGGGAAGAATGTCCCTTACATTGGGGGTCAGTGGGAAGAATGTCCCTTACATTGGGGGTCAGTGGGAAGAATGTCCCTTACACTGTGGGTCAGTGGGAAGAATTTCCCTTACACTGGGGGTCAGTGGGAAGAATGTCCCTTACATTGGGGGTCAGTGGGAAGAATGTCCCTTACATTGGTGATCAGTGGGAAGAAATGTCCCTTACATTGGTGGTCAGTGGGAAGAATGTTCCTTACACTGGGGGTCAGGGGGAAGAACGTCCCTTACATTGGGGGTCAGTGGGAAGAACGTCCCTTACATTGGGGGTCAGTGGGAAGAACGTCCCTTACATTGGTGGTCAGTGGGAAGAACGTCCCTTACATTGGGGGTCAGTGGGAAGAATGTCCCTTACATTGAGGGTCGGTGGGAAGAATGTCCCTTACATTGGTGGTCAGTGGGAAGAATGTCCCTTACATTGGGGGTCAGTGGGAAGAATGTCCCTTACACTGTGGGTCAGTGGGAAGAATTTCCCTTACACTGGGGTCAGTGGGAAGAATGTCCCTTACATTGGGGTCAGTGGAAGAATGTCCCTTACATTGGGGGTCAGTGGGAAGAATGTCCCTTACATTGGGGGTCAGTGGGAAGAATGTCCCTTACATTGGGGGTCAGTGGGAAGAATGTCCCTTACATTGGAGGTCAGTGGGAAGAATGTCCCTTACATTGGGGGTCAGTGGGAAGAATGTCCCTTACATTGGGGGTCGGGTGGAAGAATGCCCCTTACATTGGAGGTCAGTGGGAAGAATGTCCCTTACATTGGGGGTCAGTGGGAAGAATGTCCCTTACATTGGGGGTCAGTGGGAAGAATGCCCCTTACATTGGAGGTCAGTGGGAAGAATGTCCCTTACATTGGGGGTCAGTGGGAAGAATGTCCCTTACATTGGGGGTCGGTGGGAAGAATGTCCCTTACATTGGGGGTCAGTGGGAAGAATGTCCCTTACATTGGGGGTCAGTGGGAAGAATGTCCCTTACACTGTGGGGTGGGAAGAATTTCCCTTACACTGGGGGTCAGTGGGAAGAATGTCCCTTACATTGTGGGTCAGTGGGAAGAATTTCCCTTACACTGGGGGTCAGTGGGAAGAATGTCCCTTACATTGGGGGTCAGTGGGAAGAATGCCTCACTTACAGATAGGTAAAAAGATCAATGATGTCACTGGGGATTTGAGAGGCATAAATTGCTCATTGCTCAAGGAAACCCCGAGCAACCACTGGAGGAACCCTGGTTGTGAATCCTTGCTTTCATCGAAAGGACTTCCCCCACAAGTGGGCACCTTCAGTGTGGCCGTCAAGGGGCATCAATGTGCTGTCACCTGAATTTTGAGTTAAAAAGAAAATAAATTTATAAGAATAACTTTGCCTGCCAACAGATTTGGCTCCGACCGTCAGAACTGCAGCCAATTAACCATCTCCTGCTTCTCTGCTGTAATTAAAGTGGCATTAAACCCTAAAGCAAATATTTATTATATTGCAGCTTACCAGTTCTTAGATGTGATGGCTGCCTTCATTTTTTTTTAGGCTTTCTTTCCTTTATTTGCATTTGGTGGTTTTTCAATAGAACAAGCTGTCTTGCAGATGTAGCAGTTAAAGGGATGAGACAAACCATTTACCACTGACAGGGGTGCTGACAATGATCAGATTTGATTTTTTAATGTAAAACATTTATCCCAAAAGGAACAAAACTGTTTGCTGTAACTGCTTATATAATGCTTTGCTGGGAGGTTTTGCCTTCCTCTGGATCAACTGTGGAAATAGGATAATCATTTTTTTTCCTTCCTTCCTTTTTATGGTTGAACCATATGGACTTCTGTATCTAAATCTGCTAGTACATCTAAAACTCCCCTCCCCCCAGACTGACAATGCTGATGTCCCCTGTGCTCCTTCATCCAGAGTGGGGGGCGCTCTAATACAGGAGGTGTGTTACTGACTGGATCACCAGGTGAAAACAGAGGCTGTCCAAAAGTGCCCCCTGTGCTCCTTCCTCCAGAGTAGTCTAATACAGGAGGTGTGTTGCTGGCCGGATCACTAGGTGAAAAACAGAAGCTGTTCAAAGGTGCCCCCTGTGCTCCTTCCTCCAGAATGGGGGGGGGGGGCGCTTTAATACAGGAGGCGTGTTACTGGCCAGATCAGGTGAAAACAGAGGCTGTCCAAAAGTGCCCCCTGTGCTCCTTCCTCCAGAGTGGTCTATTACAGGAGGTGTGTTACTGGCCGGATCACTAGGTGAAAACAGAAGCTGTCCAAAGGTGCCCCCTGTGCTCCTTCCTCCAGAGTGGGGCGCTCTAATACAGGAGGTGTGTTACTGGACAAGGGGAGGAGAATGGATGTACTGCCTACAGGGTATATATACCAAGGGGAGGAGAATGGACAAGGGGACAAGGGAGGAAATGGATGTACTGCCTACAGGGTATATACTGGACAAGGGGAGGAGAATGGATGTACTGCCTACAGGGTATATACTGGACAAGGGGAGGAGAATGGATGTACTGCCTACAGGGTATATACTGGACAAGGGGAGGAGAATGGATGTACTGCCTACAGGGTATATACTGGACACAGGGAGGAGAACGGATGTACTGCCTACAGGGTATAGACTGGACACAGGGAGGAGAAACGGATGTACTGCCTACAGGGTATATACTGGACACAGGGAGGAGAACGGATGTACTGCCTACAGGGTATATACTGGGCAAGGGGAGGAGAATGGATGTACTGCCTACAGGGTATATACTGGACAAGGGGAGGAGAATGGATGTACTGCCTACAGGGTATATACTGGACAAGGGGAGGAGAATGGATGTACTGCCTACAGGGTATAGACTGGACACAGGGAGGAGAACGGATGTACTGCCTACAGGGTATATACTGGACACAGGGAGGAGAACGGATGTACTGCCTGCAGGGTATATACTGGGAAAAGGGGAGGAGAATGGATGTACTGCCTACAGGGTATATACTGGACAAGGGGAGGAGAATGGATGTACTGCCTACAGGGTATATACTGTACAAGGGGAGAAGAATGGACGTACCGCCTACAGGGTATATACTGGACAAGGGGAGGAGAATGGCGTTTATAGGATACAGATGCAGCTTCTATATTCAGCCTTTACATCTTCATCTTGACTTTCCTGAGGTTAATCCCCGGTAAATGTCGATGTTTTTATGTTGTTTTACCCCATTTCGGTGTTCCGGCCAGCAATGCCGGTCCATGTGCCATACAGCCGCACAGTCCCATTTGTCAGCACTGAGATGAGCTGGAAGTCAAGTGCAATGTAAAAGGGGATTTTATGGATTGCCCCATGCTGCTCTGACCATTGTGGGTGTCATCCATGGAGGATCCCCCGCCAACATCGGCTCCATGTGCTCATGAAGCTGTTTTCACCCCAACAATTGTTCTTGGGCTCTTTTGTCTTGAGAGGCTAAAGGGAGAATTGGGTGTCAGGTGGGTCATTTGGTTAATGGGTGAGTAGAGTCCATTAAGCAGCCAAGTTGCCAGTATTTGTGTGAGGTCCTCCTGCAGGTTAACTGGCTTTTGCCCACATGGATCTACAGTAAAGAATGAAGGCCATGGGCGCTACTTGGAAACATTTGCTGTAAAGAGCTGAAATAATTGTTGTCTTTTACGGCCCGGAAACCTTTCGCAATAGCTGAGGAAATCTGCTGGCATACCGGTCGTGTGGCAGAGCCGTGTCCTGCCATAGTGTTAGAAGAGGTAAAGGTCAGGCAAGGTTCTCACGAATGCAGGTTGATGGTCTCAAAATGTCTGTCATTAGCGGAGAAAAATTGGGGGTTTTTTTCAGTTTTCCCTGGGATTGGTAACTCTCAGCTTGGGTTCTGGAGTCTGGAGGCTTCAAAGAGTTTTGCAAGGGATGAAGCCTCTAATCCTAGGCCCATGCCTTGCAGGACACCAGCAGGTTGAGTGTGCAGGTGTGCCCAGGCTTTAGATTCAAGGGGATGCCTGTAGTTCAGGAGGTCTCCTACCCAGAAGCCAGGGTTTGGGTCAGAGAGCTTCGAGAGAGCTGGTGGAAAGACAGACAGATGCAGAGTCTAGAGTTTGGTGTCAGGGGAGAGTCTGGAGGACCAGACAGAAGCCTGGAGTGTGAGGTCAGAGCAGTGGCGCTGTCAGAGCAAGCCAGGAGGTTTGAGGCTTCCTCCCTCCCAGGACTCTTTGAAGCCTCCATACTCCAGAACCCAAAGGCAGCATTCATGTCGCAGTGCGGCCCTGAGAGTGGAATGCTGAACACCCCTACAAGGGTACCCTTTTTGCTGTGCTGGAATTTAACTTTTTACTTTCCTTTTAAATAAAAGTGGGCCAACAAGCCCTGAAACATATATCCCGGCTAGATTGGACTTGGTGTCGTAGGCACAACATTTGAGAAAAACCCCCAAATGTCACAGCTGATAAAAAATGTAAATCATGAAGTACGTGGAAGCAATGAAGAAAGCTGTCTGGAGACACTTTAAAATTCTAAATTTCTGGGAAAATAATAAAAAAAAAAAAAAAAAGATAAAAAAAAGAAAGATAAAATAAATAATAAATAGAAAAAAAATAAAAAAAATAGATAAAAAAAAAAAAAAAAAAAAAAAAAAAAAAAAAAAATAAAAAGATAAAAAAAAAAA